CCCCTCCTGTCAGAGTCTGGGGCACGCCTCGGGACCCAGAGTCAAGTTCCTCCCCAGCCACATGCACCTCGAAATCACGCAAGACCCAGACCCAGCCAGCCCCACCCCCATCAAGCCCCGGCAGGCAGGGGATACAGTCTCAGGTCCCGTGTCAAGCCCTGCCGGGCGGGGGGCGCAGCCTCAGGTTCCCCGGCACAGGTTCCCCGGTGGGGGGGAGTGAACCTGCGACCCAGGTCCGTGCCCTTCACTGGGAATCAAACCCTCGACCCTTCTATGTGTAGGCTGGTGCTCCAACCAGTGAGCCACAGCAGCCAGGGTGTTACCATTTTCTTATTAAGGTGTTCTTTAGCTGGAAGCAATTATGAGGATTCCTTCTCTCCATGTGTTACATTTTCTTCTAGGCTGGGCTCTTTGTCTCCCTCCTGAAAGCCTCTCGTTGTTGTTGTTTTACTGTTTGTTTATATTGTTGTCTTTTATTTTGTTTGCTGTCCCAGGTTGTAATCTGCAGGAGGCAGACTCTGAGATTAGGGGGAGTGTCTGATGGCACTCTGGGATCTGCTCCAGTGCAGGGGATGAGGGAAGCAGGGTTAGGCAGAGGGAGGGGTGGGGCTGTGCTGTGCTCACCACAAAGCTGATCCCACTGTGACAGAGTTGTCCTGAGCTGGGGCGAGAGGCTGTAGCCTTTCTACCTCTGCACAGACCGGCGGTTGGAATGCAGGCTGCTCTCAGAGAGGGCGTGTGCCATGGGCAAGGCAGCATTTTTCACCTGAGGATGCATGTGGGCTCCTAGGGAATGAAGCTGCAGTTCAGAAGAGGGTAGATATCTGGTTGGCACTAAACTCACGTGGTACTGTCCAGATATTTTTCTGATTTTTCATTCTCTTCTTACCTGTCTGAAATAGGTGTGTTTCCTTCTGATAGGCAGATCGAGGGTGAGGTGGTTTGTTTTTTTCATTTCCCCCTATTTTTGTAAATTGAGAGAATGACTGGGAGCCAGTGGAGGGTCGGACAGTGGGTGAGTCCAGTGAGGTGGTGGGCTGCCTTCAGGATGGTGTGCGGGTTATGCATCTACATTGCCCGGAGCCATTTGTGGAAAGACATCTTCTCCCCATTGCTCTGCACTGTCGCCTTTGTCACGAATCAGTATATGTCTGTGTCTGCCCATCTCCGTTCTCTTCCATTGGCCTATTGGACTGTCATTGTCCAGATACCACCCGTCTCATTTCTTGTAAGTTTACGATGGGTGCTGACATCCACTAGAGTAATTTCTTCTTCAAGATTACCTTGGGCAACCTCTGCGCTCCTTGCCTTTCTATTCACCTTTAGGATCACTTGTCAGTGTCCACAGAGCACTGCTGATGTTTGTGCAGAGATCGCACGGACTGTGGCTCAGGTTGGGTATGATGGTCCTTGCTACAAGTGGGTTTCCACTCTGAGAGCGTTATTTAGCGCTTCTTTTATTTTTTAAAATATTGACTTATAGTTTTCTATGTAGAGATGTTTCTTGGAAATATTTTATTAGTTTTATGCCTGGTTATATTATTTAAAAAAACACACACATCCACAACAATGTAATGAATCACCATGTAGCCATCACTCAGTTTCAACAGCTTTGTTGCATTTATATCTCTCCTTTGCTCAGTCCCACCATTTCCTCCCAGCTTATTTGGAAGCAAATTTAAAAATATATTGCTCCAGCCGGTTAGGACCAGTGGATAGCGCATTGGCCTGCAGACTGAAGGGTCCCGGGTTCAATTCCTGCCAAGGGCACATGCCTGGGTTGTGGGCTCGATCCCCAGTAGGAGGTGTGCAGGAAGCACCCAATCAATGATTCTCTCTCATCATTGATGTTTCTCTCTCTCCCTCCCTCTTCCTTCCTCTCTGAAATCAATAAAAATATATTTAAATATATATACACTAGAGGCCTGGTGCACAAAAATGTGTGCACTCGGGGGACGGGTCTCTCAACCCTCTTGCAGTCTGGGACCCCTTGGGGGATGTCCACTTGCCAGCGGGGAGAAGGCCTAAGCTGCAGTTGGACATCCTTAGCGCTGCTGAGGAGGCGGGAGAGGCTCCCACCACCACCGCTGTACTGGCAGCCATCAGCCTGGCTTGTGGCTGAGCAGAGCGCCCCCTGTGGGAACACACTGACCACCAGGAGGCAGCTCCTGCATTGAGCATATGCCCCCTGGTGGTCAGTGTGTGTCATAGTGACCAGTGATTCCCAGTCCTTCTGCTGTTAAAGTCAGTTTGCATATTATCCTTTTATTATATAGGATAGAAGCCTGGTGCATGGGTGGGGGCCAGCTGGTTTGCCCTGAAGGGTGTCCTGGATCAGGGTGGGGGTCCCGCTGGGGTGCCTGGCCAGCCTGGGTGAGGGGCTGATGGCTGTTTTCAGGCTGACCACACATTCTTTAGGGTGAGGGGTCCCCACTGGGGTGCCAGGTCAGTCTGGGTGAGGGGCTGAGGGCCGTTTTCAGGCTGGCCAAGCCCCCTGGCGACATAAGCGCCCAGCCTCTCCTTTTTTCTTTTTTTATATTCTCAGATTTATTTACCTTCTATAATTGAAACTTTGTAGCCTTGAGTGGAGCGCAGAAGCCGGCCAGGAAGCTTGGCTCCCTCCATCATTGGGGCAACATAGCCTCCTGCTCGCTCCAGCTCCATGGCCACTGGCAGCTGGAAGGAGGTATCTGGGGTTTATTTAACTTCTATAATTGAAACTTTGTTGCTTTGAGTGGAGCTCAGAGCCGGCTGTGGCAAGCAGGAAGCATGGCTTCCTCCATCATTGGGGCAACCAAGCCTTCTGCTTGCTCCAGCTCCATGGCTGCTGGCTGCCATCTTGGCTGGCTTAATTTGCATATAGTTGCTCTGATTGGCTGGTGGGCATGGCTTAAGGTGTAACAAAGGTGCAGTCAATTTGCATGTTTGTCTTTTATTAGTGTGGATATCATTATAGGCATTTCAATATGTATTTCTAAGACATAAGAAGGACTCTTGTTTTAGAAAAATAAACATCACCCAAGGCAAGGAGGCGATGTTGCTTCTCCTGGTCTTGAAGCTGCCAGAACTGCCCGCACCACGGGGGTGTGGGGCCCATGGGGAAGGCTGCAGAGGAGGGCATGCAGGCCATGCCCACACAGGCCGGCTCAGCTCTGAGACCAGGAGGCATGGAGACTTCCGAGGAGTGGGCCACTGGTCATTCACGCCGAGCAGCCTACCGGACGGAGAGCCAGGGGTGGGCAAGAGCCCAGCAGGCTGGGGCCAGGGGCTGACCAGAAGAACCTGGCGGTAGAAATCACCAAAAAGCCTCAGGTCGTTGTGGACTATGTGAGTGGATGGGCTGGTCCTAACCAGGCTCTGGGAAGACGGAGAGCCCTTGGCCTCAAGCTCTGCGGGAAGGACAGGGGATGCCGATGGAGAAGGGGCCGAGGGCAACGTGAACACAAAGCCTCAAAGTCCCTGCGACCGGCCACTTTTCTGGGGGTGGGGGGGTGGGACGGGGGTCTCTACCTGCGACCACCGTGCCAGCATGGGCCTCTCCACGGGGCCAGCAGAACACGGGTCAGCCCTGCCAGAACCCCTTCCTCCCCAATGGCTGACAAACAAAGCCTTGTAGAGGGTTTGCTTCTGCTGATGGTTTTTCCTCCCTAACCTCAAGTTGGGGTGCAACACCGCCAGCGCCACAGTGTGGGGTGCGGCTCCGGGGGCTGCGTGGGCGGCCCTCGCAGGGCGGGTCCAGTGCAGCACCAGGCAGGTGACCTTCCTGTCCTGCTGTTAGAGATGCCAGGAGCGGCTGCTGCCCATAAAACAACAAAACGCCCAACGTCATTTTGTACCTGAAAATGTAGAAATAATTCCTTGCACCATAAAATACACAGTTAGCGTTAGTTGGTGTTTTTTGGTGCTAGTGTAAATGATGTCTTTAAGATTTTCATTTTCTTTGTGTCTTTCTGGTATAGAGATATTTTTTATATGTTGGTCTTGTATCCAATAATCTTGCCCAAGTATTCATTACTTCTGATAATTTTTCCCTTGGCTTCCTATATACACAATCATGATGCTTGTTAATATAAGGACAGTCCAGCTCAAGGGGCAATAAAGTTTGCCAGGTTTTGCAACCATCAGTTTAAAAAGTAAAAGAGAAACCAACAGATAAAAAGTGAACGAATTTGATGTTAAGATTTCCTGTAAGGTGGAAAAAAAGTGAAGACTTTAAATAATGCCTATCACTGTGTATTATAGACTGTCCTGAAATTTTTATGCGTTGCTAAAATCACTTGTTATTCTATGTTTTCTTTTGTTTTGTAGTTTCCCATCACCAATTGTTCTTGGAATTGGACAGGTAAGTGGGAAAAAAAGTCAACCTCTTAATTAGTCAGTACACGTAGTGCGGTTTTCAGTGCTTTTGTGTATGACTGTGGTTTACAAATGTATTCATCTCATCATGGTACTTTTGGTGAAGCAATATGAAATAACATTTTTTTTTAAATATATTTTATTGATTCTTTACAGAGAGGAAGGGAGAGAGATAGAGAGTTAGAAACATTGATGAGAGAGAAACATCGATCAGCCACCTCCCGCACATCCCCCACCGGGGATGTGCCCGCAACCCAGGTACATGCCCTCGACCGGAACCGAACCTGGGATGTACTTTTGGTGAAGCAATATGAAATAACATATTTTTTTTAATATATTTTATTGATTCTTTACAGAGAGGAAGGGAGAGAGATAGAGAGTTAGAAACATTGATGAGAGAGAAACATCGATCAGCCACCTCCCGCACATCCCCCACCGGGGATGTGCCCGCAACCCAGGTACATGCCCTCGACCGGAACCGAACCTGGGACCCCTCAGCGCGCAGGCCAACGCTCCATCCACTGAGCCAAACCAGTTTTGGCTGAAATAACATATTTTATGTCATTCTAGAATTTAGGAACAGTGTATCGGTAGGAAAAACAAGTACTGATTTTAATTTCCTTAATGGAATGGAATTACTTTAAAACAAGGGGCCAGAAGACTGCAGTCTCCAAGGTCTGTCTGGTGGGTAACAAAGGAATGGCTGGGGGCCGGGGGTGGTACCGGGAACGTAGTTACCATTGAGATGTGCACCTGCGACTCGGTTGAAGCTGCTGTGCCAGAGAGGAAAAGGGTGCGGAGATGAGTAGGGCCCACGGGGCCCTGATTATCAGAACTCCAGAGTTTTTTTAAGAGAAGCAGGTGTTTGAGTTTTTATGTCAGATCTCCCATTGGTAAATGCCGGCAATGGATTCCAATTTCACAAGACTCTTGATGGGCCAAACAGAACATGTTTGCTTCCCGTGGTTTGTGATTTTTGTTCTCAGGTATAAAGTTGACCTGGAAAACCTTTCGGACTAACCACTTGGCTGTTTCTGAAATTTCCCATTAATATTAATTTGTGAATTGTTTATTCTTTTGGTGATTTCCATAGACTGGTGGTAACAGGCATCAGAGGTTTTATTTGTCCTGCTTTGCTTTAATTTATAGGGAGAAAAAAATTAAAATTATGGAAATTATATCTTGTTAACTGTGTAATTGTGAATCTGGAAAAGCTGTCATTTATATGATTAAACATTGTTCTGGTTCCATGTTTTGCTAATAAGGTACTCTTTGAAACATCATGTTAGGGGAAAAAACAAACAATATATTTCCTTAAGGTGAAAAAATATATCATCTTTATATTTCATTGTGAAAATATGTACAGAAAAGCATTTAAAAGATTAGTGATAAGCTGTCCTTTGTAATCCCTGAGGCAAATAGAATCAATGCTGTACTCAAGGTAAATAAAGGCTTTTTGATTTTTAATGTTGGGGGAGGAGGCCAGCAGACCTATTTTTAAAAGTCTGAATTACAGAATATTTTAAATAAGTGTTAGTATATTTCTGTAAGAATTATAAAGTAACTCATAAATACAAACCACAGTTATAATTCAGCATGGGTTCCAGTTATATGAATCTACCATAAGTATTAAGTTTGTAAACTTATTGGGATCAAGGTTTAGGATTATGATCATGTTGAAGGAGTCTTTACATCTTTGCATCCTAGTCCTAGCTGGTTTGGCTCAGTGGCTAGAGCACGGGCCTGTATACTGAAGCATTCCAGGTTCGATTCTGGTCAAGGGCACATGCCTGGGTTTCGGGCCCGATCCCCAGTAGGGGCTGTGCAGGAGGCAGCTGATCAGTGATTCTCTTATCCATTTTAAAAAATATATTTTTATTGATTTCAGAGATGAAGGGAGAGGGAGAGAAATAGAGAAACATCAGTGATGAGAGAGAATCACTGCCTCCTCTCCCCTATTGGGAATCAAGCCTGCAACCCAGGCATGTGTCCTTGACTGGAATTGAACCTATGATGCTTCAGTCTGCAGGCTGGGTGCTCTAGTCACTGAGCAAACCAGCTATATCAGCTATATTGCTTTTTGATAAATCTGTTTTCTTCTGATGTCTTTGTATCTCAAACAGTCCACATATTTTGCTGAAGTTTCTTTCCCCCCCCTTTTTAGATGGCGGCTACCATAATGATACTGTATGTGTCCAAGCTAAATAAAATAATTCACTTCCCTGATTTTGACAAGAAAATTCCTGTAAAGGTATGTGAGTAAAAGGACATATAGCTCTGATGGAAGATGTGAAAATATTACATAATGGCCGTGACCTTTGCAGTGGGGTTCAGCATCTGAGGAGGGACTGACGCACAAATGAAAATACTATACACGAACTATGAATTTAGAAGGCATTGGGGGCCAGGCAGAGCCTCTTTCTTGAAAAGACACACCAAGACTCAGTCCTGTCTGCTTTTTATTCAATTTTAGATACACATCTTGCCCTCTAGCAATGCATACAGGCATATCAAAGGTAAAGTTTGGTAAATAGTAAAAGGATTATCAGGTTAGGGAATTGCCTTGAGTCACCACTTTCTCAACACGAACAATCGAACAATTGGTGCTTAGCATTAGCCCTACTAACGCCCAAGGTCCATCGGCCTTCTGCGTTCCTTGATGCACTCTCATGACAATATTGGCAAGTGGTGGCTACTTGCATCTCCCCCTTTTTGTTTTCTTAATAAATCTTGAAAGGTGTATGCCGTCTGCAGGGCTCGAGTCCTTTAAAGACTCTTCATTCCGCATCTACAGACTAGAATTAAACACATAAGAACAAGATTGAAACAGACAATAGTGGTTATGCTAAGAGGCAGATGTAGAGAGATCCAGTGAAAGGGATTAAATTCTTTCATGTCCTTTTCAAATTGCTGCCAGGCGTCTAAGGAACTAGTCTGTAGTAGGCTCCTTTCTTGGCCATCAGTTCTTTATGGGTCCCCTTCTCAATCACTGTCCCCTGTGACATGACAGCAATGATATTTGAGTTTGGGATGGTGGACAAATGGTGGGCAATGACAATGCAGGTCCATCCTTCTCTGGCTTTGTCCAGGACAACCTGTACCTTTGCACAACTGATGACTGCTAGCATGGCAAGGAAAGCATTCTCAGGTGTTCTCAGGGTTCTTGTTTTCTCACAAACTCACTGAGCTTTCTGGACTGTCTTCTTTACCATCCCCCAGGTCATCTGCGGACTGTTTGTCGTCTGTCTTGTCTGTCTCATTCTCCTTCCATTCCTTATCTTTAGCATGTTGCTTGGGGCTACTGCTGTCTTTGGCTGGAGTAGTCGATTGTCTGCAGCCACAGGTACAAGACAAGGCTCCAGGTGCAAGGTCCTCATAGTCTCATCAATTCCTCCCTCAGATCCATGTTGAAGTTTAATGTTCCTTGTAGGAATCCACATGGGCTTGGAGGAGTTTTCTGGAAATACACAAGCATATTCTCAACCAAAGGTTAATAAGTTGGGACCTTTTCATAAACTAGACTCAGGATCCTTCCATTTGATCAAGCCCTTTTCTTCTGGCTTATTCTGACACCAGTGTAATTCCATAGGTGTCTTGCCATCAGCATTACAAGTGAAAATTTTCAAATAATTAAGGCTTGGTGTAGTCTACCTACAGGAGATTTCTCCAGTATCACTATTCCCCCTTTTTGTTTTTCAAGTTGGGATTTTAGTCGCTGATGTTGATGTCCTATAATTGCCTGTCCTTGGGAATTGTACGGTATTCCTGTAATGTGCTGAATTTTCCACTTTTTACAAAATTACTGGAAATGAGTAGTCTTAATTCTATTTATCAGGCCAGCAGCATAGGCAGAATCAGTAATTAACATTGTGAGGCTCTTGGAAATCCTGCAATGGAGCCTTGATAGCTCCTAATTCAATATTTTTTGGTATAATAGGGGTGTAATATAAAAATTGTAGTAACTTGTTTTTTAGTAGGTGACAACTAAGTTCTGAATATCTTCTTAGTCTAATCTGCCAGTTTAAATCAGTCTGAAATAACATTTCTAATTGCTTCCCAATGAGGGGAGGATAGATGCATTGGGGTTCTTCTCTTCTGAGCTGCCTGCAGTGCTTTCTGAATTGAGATATTAATTGAGCCATGAGTTCTATATATGTACCTACAGTTTTAGAGGACTGATGCCCTAGACCAGTGGTCGGCAAACTCATTAGTCAACAGAGCCAAATATCAACAGTACAATGATTGAAATTTCTTTTGAGAGCCAAATTTTTTAAACTTAAACTCTATAGGTAGGTACATTGTTATTAACGTAATTAGGGTACTCCTAAGCTGGCCTTTGCTAAAAACGTCCTCAGTCTGATTGAGGTACGTTCCCTGAGGTCGACCCCTTCCAACTCTCCCATCCACACTCGTCTTGTATACTTGTTTTGTCCATCTCCTTTCTGAAAACCGATTTCTGCACATGGGTCATGAAGTTTCAATTGCACTGTACGTGTGCACCCGCACATGGTATTTTGGGGAAGAGGGGGTCCCTCAGCCCGACCTGCACCATCTCCAATCTGGGAGCCTTCAGGGGAGCCCTCTCCCATCCGG